CTGATCTAGAGGGCTTCTCCTGAAGCTTTCTATGTCTAAGCTGACATTTACTTCTGAGTTTTTAATTACATTAAGCCCAGAAAGTACTAGATTTTTTTTTTTAAATCTTCACCCGAGGATATTTTTCTATTTATCTTCAGATAGAGTGTGAGGGAGAGAAAGAGAAATATTGACGTGAGAGGGACACATCCACTGGTTGCCTCCCACACAACCCTGACCAAGGCCAGGGATGAACTGCAACCTAGGTATGTGCCCTTGGCCAGAATCGAACCCGCAACTCAATGGTCCACAGGCTGACACCCTACCACTGAGCCAAAACAACCAGGACAATACTAAATTTTTGGGGTTTTTTTAATAAAGGTAAAATGTGCCCTGGCCAGTGTGGCTCAGTTGGTTGGGCATCGTCCAATGCACCAAAATGTTGCCAGTTCTATTCCCAGGCAGGGCATATGCTTGTAGTATGGGCTCAGTCCCCAGTAAGGGGTGTGCAGGTGGCAGTTGATTAATGTTTCGCTCTCATATCAATGGTTTTCTTTCTCTCTCTCCCCTTTCCTCTCTCTCTAAAAATCAATTTCTTAAAATAAATCTTAAATAAATAAATAAGTATGCACTGCCAGTTTAGTAGTACTTTGAATTTTGGTCTCCTTTTCCAATCTGACTGTTACTATTTGCTTATCAAAGTCATCAAATAACTACACCATCCATTTTGCCCATACCCTCTGCACTTATGGTCTGGTGTAAGTCTAGTCCCCTTGATTCACTGGATAATTCTTTTTTTTTAATATTTAAATTTTTTCTTGCCTTTATTGATTTTAGAGAGATAGGAAATGAGAGGGAGAGAGATATAGAAACATTGTTGAGAGAGAACATCGACTGGCTGCCTCCTGCATGCCTCCCACTGGGGATCGGGCTCACAACCTGGGCATGTGTCCTGATTGGGAAGCGAACCGGCGACCTCGTGGTGCATGGGTCAATGCTCAACCACTGAGCCACACCGGCTGGACTCATTGGATAATTCTTTAAGGCAAGGATCATGTCTCTCCTCAAGCTCCACTCCTTCAAATGTTCTCAGAAAATACTTATATTCACTATTCTCTAAAAACCAAAGAGCCCTTATTATGAGAGGGGAGCTTCCTCATCTTGGAATCATCATCCTGGGGACTTACAGGGTTTTTCAAGAAGAGATATTCTGGCTCTGGCTGGGTAGCTCAGTTGGTTAGAGCATCATCCTGATACACCAAGGTTGTGGGTTTGATCCCTGGTCAGGGCACATACAAGAATCAACCAATCCCATAGACAGAAAGGTCCCAGTTCAATTCCCCGTCAGGGCACATGCCTGGGTTGCAAGCTCGATCCTCAGCAGGGGGTGTGCAGGAGGCCGCCAATCAACGTTTCTCTCTCACATCGATGTTTCTCTCTCTCTCTCCCTAAAAATAAATAAAAACATATAGAAAAAAGAATCAACCAATGAATGCATAAATAAGTAGAAAAACAAATCAATGTTTCTCTCTCTAAAGATCAATAAATTAAAAAAATAAAATTAAAAAAAGAAGAAAGAGACACTCTGGTATGGTGCCACATGGGTAGGGTACCAAGTGGGTACTTGAACTATTGGGCAGATTACTTTGTAACTTAGATAATTGTCTAACCACGATGCTGGACACCTAAAACTAATATAAAATAATACTGAATATCAACTGTAATTGAGGAATAAACGTTTTTTAAAAAGAAGAAACACTCAGTTCTCAAGGCATTCACAGAGCTTTTCCTCACCTATACTGTCCCCTCTGAGGTAAGATGTCCCCACACACCTGTACCTCAGCTCCAGAGATCTGAGGTAGTCTCAGAGAAGGTATCATATTACAGCACTAAAAAGTGGCCTTTGAGCCCTGGCTGGTTTGGCTCAGTGGTTAGAGCGTCAGCCTGTGGACCAATGAGTCACAGGTTCGATTCCAGTTAAGGGCATGTACCTCGGTTGTGGTTTGTCCCCAGCCCTGGGCGGTTTGTGCGGGAGGCAACCAGTCGATGTGTCTCTATCATATTGATGTTTCTCTCTGTCTCTCTCTCCCTCCCTCCCACTCTATTGAATGATAAATAGAAAAATACCCTTGGGTGAGGAATTAAAATTTTTTTTAAAAAAAGAAGCCTTTGAGGACCTTGATGGCAGTTCCCATTCACCGAGCACCTTTAGGCAAGGTTGCTTCTGCCCCTGGAGAGAGTTGTCTGAACAGCATGGCTGGGCTAAGGGGAGGGTCTCTGACATTCTTAACAAGACAAGAATGTTAAAGGAAAAAAATTCCAGATTAATTTGAAAATCAAATGAAGTCATTCAAACAATAGAAATTATTTTAAAATGTAGATTAATATTTAACTAACCTTCAAATAGGGAAGGAAAGCATAAACACTAGGGAAGAAATGGTTAAAATATGCATACTGTGGCATCGTACACAACCACTGAAAATGAAGTTTTTCAAATAATTTTTAGGAACCATGAGAAAATGCTCGTGAAATAATGAGAAGCAGAGCACCACACCCAAAATAACAGCACAAATTAAATTTAAAAACTAATAAACTACATATGCAAAGAGACTGGGAGATACACCAAAATGTCTCTGTATGGTAGAATTATAGGTAAATTTTTAGGGTTTTGCCCATGTTTTCTACTATGACGATGTGTTTTTTTCGTAATCCGAAAAATAAGGTGTTTTTAATAAAGAGTTGGTATTGTGAAAATATGAAAAACCAGTCAAATTCAGCCACTAAAAAGCAACAGCTTCAAAATATACACAGATGTTGAATATATTTCACATGTACAGTTCACAATTTTTTTTTTTTTTAAATCCTCACCGGAGGACATTTTTTATTTTGTTGAGATAGAGTGGAAGGAAGAGAGAGAGAGAGAGAGAGAGAGAGAGAGAGAGAGAGAAACATCGACGTGAAAGGGACACATCGAGTGGCTGCCACCTGCACGACCAACCAGGGCCGGGGACAAACTGCAACCGAGGTACATGCCCTTAGCGGGAACCGAACCCGGGTCTCTCCGGACCGCTGGCCGAGGATCTAACCACTGAGCCAAACCGGCCAGGGCAATTTTTAAGTATAAAAATAATAATAAAAGCTACACATGCTTTTCGCAGGAATAGCAGGAACAGTAGAAATACCACAACCAGCCTCTCCCATGCCCACCTAGCCCGAGCCCTCTCCTGTCACCTTTGAGGGTCAAGAAGGATCCTGACTACAGTGTTCCCCACCCCTGCGAGTGGAGAAGCCAGATTCACTCCCAGACTTGGCCACCAGCCTGGTCACTTTCCAAATGAGCTCCTTAAGGGCCCATGAGGGCCATCCCTACCGTAAGGCCCTGCTGCCCAGCCTGTGGGCTATCAAGAACATGAAGCAACCCCATCTGAGTCACTAGAACTCCCCAAACCAGCTGCTAAAATTTCCTGAGACCCAGCATGAGGGTCATACACAGATTCCAGAGACTCTGGTCTGAGGTTCACCCCACTCCGGTGCCCTCTGAACCACTATCTACACGGACTAACCTCAGCAACCACTGAAATAAAACCATTTCCCTTGGTCACCCTTGAAACTGACCTCGCCCTCCTTCCCCCGTGAACAGTTCTCTCCATGGGAAAGGCAGCCCCTTGCTGCTCTCCTTGAAACAGCCCTTTTCCCGTGCCCTCCCTAAGGTGCTCTAGCAGCTTGTCCTTCACGTGATTGCCTCACAGTTCCAAGAAGACATCTGTCCTCTGTGTGACCCCTATGAAGCACTGCTTTTAGCTGCTCCTCCTGTTTTCCTGGGGCCTGGGTTCCTGCTCCCTCCATCCCAAGGAACAGTTTCATCTTAGTTCCCGCCAAAATGCTGTCTCCATTGAGGGTTGCCAGATTTAACAAAAAGAATCACAGGACACCTGATTAAATCTGAATTTCAGATAAACCACCGATAATTTCTCAGTATCCGTATATCCCATCTCTCTTATCCACCCCACTCCCACTCTTGAAATGCTTTTTCCTTCTGCCACTCATAAGAAAGACTGTCTTCTTTCTGCCCCACTATAAAACACTCTGTCTCCCTAAATGCCTATGAAATGCTGCCTGCCCTCTGCCCCCTGAAACGTGAAACAGTGATCAAACCGGACACACTCTTTCCCTCTGTTCATCTTCTCAATCCTGTCTCCCCCCGCCCCCCATCAACCTCCTTAATGCTGTCGTCCTTCTGCCTTTCTTTGAAGAGTAGACTCTCAACCTCTAACATCACCTTTTCTCTGTTGGCTTCCTGATCCCCAGAAAACCATGACCCTCCTGTTCCCAGAAAAAAACAGCCTACCTCTGTCTCCCACCCCAGTACTATCTTATACCTACTGCCATTTATTTAGTCCTTAATATGCACCAAGCCCTGTGGTAAGCACTTTGATTCTTGCATCAGCCCTAGGAAGTAGGTTTTATTCTTCTTCTGATTTTACAACTTGCCTGCGCTCACACGTCAGATTTGCATACAGGTGCACCTGACACCAAAATCTTAGATAAAAACCCACGTTAAACCAGAATTTCCTGCACATCTGATATTTTTTTAATCTTCTAAGGAGCATCCAGGTCGAGACCCACGGCACACGACGGCACCTTCCTGCTCTCGTCTTTGTCATGAAACTGTTGCCCTAGGAAAGCCCACAGCAAACTGTCCACTGGCTTTTTCCTCAACGAAGAATATCGTCTTGCTCCACCTCCCTCTGGGGCACAGGCTCCTTGGCTGTGAACCCCCACACCGTAAGAGGAGAGGGACCCAGTCGGGCTGCATTGCCCACATGCCTGGCACCTAGAGATTGGCTGAGGCAAGGGCCAGGCCTGTGGTCCCTGCTGTCGGCTGGCACTCCATCCCTATCCCACCACACCCCTTCTATAAATATCCCACTGCTCACTGGCTGCTGAACTGTTGCAGCAAGAGTTTCCATGAAGTCAGTTTCCTACAGCGACCCCCCCAGGCGCCCAGCACCCACACCTACCTCTCCTGGAGTCCTGCGGCCTGCCTGCCCCTGCAAGGGGCTGTCCCGCATGCCGTGTCTCTGCCGGGCAGGGGGCGTCGGCACCTGGGCAGAAGCCTGAGGTGGAGCCTTTCCTAAGCTCTGGGCTCCGGGTTCCGGAGCTTGACTCAGGGAAGAATCAGGCTTGCTGCTGGAGGGCTCTCCTTTGGGCTTCGGAGGAGCAAATCTCTTCCTGTTGAAAGGCCTGGTTGGCTGAGCAGCTGAGGGCATGGGCTGGCCCGGGGCAGTAGGCCCCCTCTCGCCTTTTGCCTCGCTGGGCACCTTCCCTGAGGGCGTCTCTCCAGGTTCCCTGCCACTTTGCATGTGGTACCCCTCGTCCCCCTGAGGCCTGACGGCCTGGGTGCTCTCCAGATACATGTCCTTCAGGGAGAAGTATACTTCCTGGTCTGGGCCTGGGGCAGGGGCTGGGGCCTTCTGGGCCTGGTCTGAAGAGCCTATAGCGGAGGCTGGCTTCCGGATACTATCTGCTCCCGATGACCCGGGCCCCTGTGCAGCCCCCCCTCTGCGCCAGGCCTGAACCTGCTCTGCGGCCATGGGCCCCTGTGTCCCACAGGGGTCGGGCTTGTCTGAACTGGGGACACAGTTTTCAGAATAGTGGCCTTGAGCTGCCTCGTCTAGCTCTGGCTTCCGCGGGCCTGGCTTCGGTTCCTCGTCTTTCTTTTTCTTCTTGGCCCCACACTCTTTCTGGGGAGCTCTCGGAGGCCTCAGCTCCATGGCCTCACAGATATACGTCAAGAGGCCGTGATCTCCGTCCTCCCCATTCTCGGGGGCAGCATCCCCATTGGTGGTCACCTCTCCAGGGGCGAAGCTGTTGATCAGGCCTAAACCCGGGTGCTGACTAGACTCAGTCTCCCCTTCCTGCCACGCGGCCGAGGTCCTGTCCTCAGCCTCCCTGGTGGGGGCCACGGACACTGGCCGCTCAGCCCCGCTCAGCCGCCGCTTGCGCTGGAAGCGGTCTGGACTGAGCTTGCGCAGCGTGTCGGCCTCCCCGGCCGCCTCCTTCCCGTGCTTCCAGCTCTGCTCGATCTCGCGCATCTTTGCCGCCGCCTTGCACTTCAGCTTGGCAAACCAGCGCTGGTGGATCTTGTACTCGGTCATGGTGCCCACCTCCAGGACCCCTGAACAGGACACGATGCCCTTGGTGTTCCGGGCAGAGGCCTGGTAGATGGCGGCATCTTCTTCTTGACACCTGGAGGCAACAGCATTGAGATGCCAACTCTCCCCTCCTGGGAGGCAAGAGGCCCCCGCTCCCCACAGCCAGAGCCTCTCAGGGTTGAACGAGCTGCCTCAGTCCCCACAAGTCCTGCCCTGAGAGCCACGCCCAGCTCGGACACTACCACGTCCGTTACAGCTGAGGAAACTGAGGCCAGCAAGAGGGTGGAAGCTGATCAAGATCACGCTGTTCCGGGGGGATTAGACTTGGGGCACAGGAGAGCTTTCTTCAGAAGCAGGTGACCCACACGGCCCCTTATGAATGATGACACAGGAGCTTTTTTTGGCAGCAGACCTCATGGAAAATGTTTCCATGGGTCAGGACCTCCTCTGGTTGCACTCAGCTCTCTGGCTGTCACAAATACTCCCACCCTGGCCTTAGGAGATCCCAGACACTGGCAGGCAGACACAGCTCACCAGGTGGTTCCACTCAGCAACGGAACCCCACCCCTGCCCCTAGCTCTGCCTAGGCATCTTCATCCAGCTGACTCTGTTGCTGAGGGCTTGGGCCAAAGAACCCCCAGAAAGACAGAGAGAGCAGAGCAGGCCCCTCTCCCTTACCTGTAGAGCTGCAGTGTGTGGCGGTTGCCCTGATGCGTGATCTCATATTTTGGCAAGCCACAGTAGCGGTCCAGCTCTGTGTCATCCTTGTACCAGGTCACCTCTGGCTCTGGGTATCCTAAGAAAGAAGCAAGAGATTGGGTCCCAAGAGAGTAAGAGGAGAGAACAGGATGCCATGCCCCCCCCCCCCAAATCACCTAAAGAGACTGGACTGGACCACCTGCCCCAGGCTTGCTGAAAGAATAGGGCTATCGCCCTGACCGGTTTGGCTCAGCGGTTGGAGCGTCGGCCTGTGGTCCAGAGAGACCCGGGTTCGGTTCCCGCTAAGGGCATGTACCTCGGTTGCAGTTTGTCCCCGGCCCTGGTTGGTCGTGTGGGTGGCAGCCACTCGATGTGTTCCTTCACGTCGATGTTTCTCTCTCTTTCTTCCTCTCTCTCCCTCCCGCTCTATCTGAATAAAAAATTGAAAAATGTCCTCGGGTGAGGATAAAAAAAAAAGAACAGGACTATTACATGGTCCAGCTTCTTGTTAGAAGCTAGACCCTGTCAAAGATGAAGACTGCCCTCTTCAGCAGCTGGAAAGCAAATATGAAAGAGAAACTTTCCAGCTTCTTGGTAAGAAGAGATGCAAGAAGTTTCTAGAAAGCGTTGGCTGGTAGTAATAAAGCTTCCCTCCTTCAGTGGCCTGTTCACATCCTCCACTGTAATGAGAGCTCTGACCTCAGAGGTCTCCCCAACACTTCAACACCAACGCCACTACCAAGAGCCCTCCTCCTTTCATTCCAGGTTCCTGAGCTATTCTTTGATGATACAGCTAAAACATCCATCCATCCGTCCATCCATCCATCCTTCCTTCCATCCATCCATCCATCCATCCATCCACCAACCCACATATTCTCTGCTGACTGAAAAGTCTTCCCAGCCTGTCCTCTCTGGGGGCTTCCAGCTCAACCCACAAGGAGTGGTTCCAACTATTAGAGTCACATGTTCCTGCCTCCCTGGCCATAGAGCTGATTGGCCCAGTAATAGGCACCCAATCTGCTAATATAATCCAAATCATTGACCTAGGATTGGGGAATTAGGACCAAGAGACAGACTACCTTTGTTGTCTGGAAATATAATTCCAAAGGGTTACATCCATGTTCTGCCACATGCACTAAGAAGCAAATAAAGCCGGTCTGTAACAAGATGGAAAAGTGAAGTTGATGTTCAGGATAGAGTAAGAGCTTGGAGCCAGAGAGAGTCCCGACATCCTCCCAAATACTGGCTCCCCATTCCTTGCCTGGACACAGACACACTCTTATCAATTTCATAAAAAGCCTATCTAGCCTTACCAATGAATTTGGTTAACTGCAATTTATTTGAAACATTTATTAGAAATTTAAGATCTACAGCCCCTCAAATATATATATATAGTGATGACTACCAAGCAAGGGTCATGAAAACAGAGAAGCTTACAGACAGAGTCTCTGCTCTCAGGGAACCTACTGCACAGCAAAAAAAAAAAGGTAAGACAGGTCCCTACACAAGGTAGGAGCACCTGCATCTGTGCATCCCTGCTCTATCCTTCCTACTGTCTATGGATAAACTGCCCGCACGCCTAGCTAAAGCCACCCACGCTGGACCCCACCTCCTCTTGTCTCATCAGAGACACCTCTCCAACACTTGTTCCTGTTCTCTCCTCCATCGCCAAACTTTCCCTCTGTTATATCATTGCCATCAGCACACGAGCCTGCTATACTATTCCCCTTCTTTAAAAAGCACTATTGCGTCAAGCAATGACACGGCAAGGGGTCAGCGTTTAATTGCGTCAAAAAGCACTGCATTGGACCCCAACCCTCTTCTAGCTCCTGCTCCTATTTCTCTGTTCTGTCCTTTACAAGAGAAACTTACAACGACTTGTCCGTACCCACTGTCTTCAGTTCCTCTCCTGCAATCAGGCTGTTGTACCCACCACTGCACCAGAACTGCTCTCGTCCAGGTCACCTGTGACCCAACAGGTGCCAAATCCACTGCTAATTCTTTTGCCTTTTGTATCCAATCTATCAGCATTGATCCTCACCCTTCCTGGAACCTTCTTCTCACTTGTTCCTGGGTACCACTCCTGTTGGGGGCTCTTCCTGCTTCACTGACCGCTTTTCCTAATCTCTTTCATCCTCACCACCTAGCCCTGTAAGTTGAGATGTCCCAGGCCTCGGAGCCATTTTCCATTCTTTCCCCATATAACCTGGCGGGATCTAATCCCATCCTGCAGCCTTTAAATGTATATAAGCTCATGACCCCCAGATTTACCAGACCTCTTCTGAACTCCTGGTTCCTGTTCCCGACTGCAGACCTGATATCCAGTTGGAGGTCTAACAGGTTCTGAAGTTAACGTGGCCCCAAACCAAGCTCCGTCGTCTCTCTCCCAAGCCAGTTCCCACACAGCTCAGTAAATGGCAACTTCATCAGGACTTTGATGCAGGCCCCAAACCTGGAGGTAACCCTTTATTCCTTCCTTTGCTCCTGTCTTTTCCATCAGACAATCCTAAGGGCCCTCCCTTCAGAATATCAGAATCGCTCACCCCCGGACATTGCCACCACCAGTCGGTTCCGTCACCATCATCGCACACCTTGGCTTCCGCAATAACCTCCTTCCTGGTCTCACCGCTCATACCCGGGCCTCAGCACGAGAGCCAGCAGGAGCCTTTTTAAATGAAGTCAGATCGTGGCACGCCTCTGCGCAAGACACCCCAATAGCTCCCGCTTCATTAAGGCCTCTCGATCTGGGGGCCCCATTAGCACCCTGGCATCACCTCCTCAGAGAAGCCTCTCTCCCTGCCCTTCTTAATCCCCTTACCATTTATCTTTCTTCCCAGACTGCATGGCCCCCTGACATACGGAACACGGTGAGTTTGTTTGTTTATGTCCATCTCCCCCACTGACCGTGGAAGTACCAGCTGCATGACTTACCTGTGTTATCCCCTGTTGTCGCTAATTTCCAGAATAGCGCCTGGTATGGAATCACGCTCGTTCAGTACTGATAGATGAATGAATGGAGCAATGCACTACGTGCTCAGGGTGCAGAGAAAGAGCAAGCACCCCCGGCTGGGCAATCGGGAGAGGCTTTGTGGCAGGAGTGGTTTTTGAACTGGCCTTGAAGGGTGGGCCAGAAAATGTGGGTCCCGTGCCTGCACTTCCCCTTCATAGCGCTGTCACTATTTCCTTGTCTGCCTCCCCTTCTTGACTTATGTCCTATGTGGGCAGGAATCACGTCTTCCTTACTGCTACCTCCTCACCACCTATGTCAGCTCCTGGGCACATAGAACTTACGTAATGAAACTTGCTGCATAAGTGAGCATATAAGTAAGGGGATGAGTGAGCAACAAACCAGAGGTGACGGGAAGGGCATGCCTGACAAAGGGACACAACAACAGTGGAGGGGGGGGTGGAAAGCACAGGGCACCCTGGGAAACTGTGCACAGAAGCAGGGAGCAAGGGAGGCAAGGCCGCAGCCCAGTCGGCCAGGAACAAACTCTGGGCAGCCCTGACTGTAAAGTGAACCACATGTTTCCACTGTGAGCTAAAGCCCCTGGTTACATCACTGTGTATAGGGCCAGGACCAGCACAGGTGCCCTCACCATCCTGTGGGATGATCTCATCCCTACGAGGGCCCGGCTCAGAGCCTCTCTGCCCCATGACCTGCCCAGTAGGGCCTCAGCATCCAGGGCATCTGAGTCCAGCCAGGCTGGAGCGAAGGAGCAGGGATGGGGAAAGAAAGAGGACACTGAATGAACCCCCAGCCTCAAGGCTAGGGCCGAAGCCCCCATGCCACCCACTGGTGTCTCTTCAGCAGTGGGGGCCAATCTTACAACTTAGGGCTCCGTGGTGACCATGGATTTTAGAAAGAACTTCGAGAGAAAACATTGCTTTGTCCCCTGGATAATATGAACTGTATCCTAAAACACACCAAAGCAGGAGAGGTCCTTCACTCTCTGCTGCACACACGTGCATGCCCCGGTGTGTGTCCACAGGCAGGCGTGCACACGCACACTGGGCCCCGGCCAGGACAGCCCACAGAGGCAACGGAGCCTGTGGCCTTCTCTCTTCCTGTCACACCCTGTGACCTCTGCTTCCCAGCCAGCAGGCCTGAGTCGGGAACCCAGCTTGGAACTTACAGCCTCATCCCAATCATTCCCAGTTTGGAGAAGCTCAGATTCAAGAGAAGAGTCTTGTTAACGTTTACTGATGAATTTACTATGTGCCAAACGCTGAACTGAACATTTTTCATGTATTATCTTATCTAATCCTCACCAAAAATCCTGTGAAGAATGTTATTAATTCCCAATTTGAGGAAGAAAAAAATCAAGGCCCATGAAATTAAAGCTCCTACTCAGTCATCCAGCTGACGAGTAGAAGAGCCAAAATTTCAAATCCCTCTCTTCTATAAAATAGACAAGACAGGTGTTTTAATCCTTATTTTATGCAAAAGAAAGATGAGGCTCCAAGAAACTAAAGAGCTCACCCAGGGTCACACAGCTGGCCCATGACAAAGCCTGGTTTCCTTTTCCCTTTTCTCATGCTTTTTCGCTGGGGATTCTGGGACCAATATGTCAGTTTCTGCACCCAGCAGTCATTAGACTTACGTCTCTAAAAAGTTTCTTCAGGAACGTGGCTCTGTCTAAAGGCTCAGTCCCTTTATCCATCTGGCCTACTGCTAGTATTTCCTCCTCCTCCTATCCCAATATAAGAGCATACACTAGCCCGCTCACACACACCCCAATACAGAATCTACAACAGTGTTGAAAGTGGGGAAGGAGGCCACCACGTTAGACAGCGATGGGCAGCCTCAAGTGGGAGAGGAGCCCTCTGGCTGAGGGGCTCCTGGGGGCAGACAGAAGCCAGGAGACCAGTCAAGGTCCACCATCTCCCAACATGTCCACTCTGAGAGAAAAGAATCTCAGGGGAGTACTTTTCCTCTCTGAGCCCCCAAAGGCGTCCCTCGAAGCTCAGCCAACACGGAACCAGCAGAGCTGCCTCTCCCTTACCTGGACTAGGTTCTGACACACCAGGAAAGCATCACCTGCTCCTGGCAGGGTACTGGAGGGGCTGATTCATCACAGCCTAGTTTCAGAAATG